CATTAAAGATTATATATATCTAAACGGTGAAAAATACCGTCCCCAAGATATATCACCTATTAATATTTTTAGCTTTGTTACACTCAAGAATGAAATTCTTGATTTTCTAGGATGGCCCTACTACATCTTAGAAAAATTGACTATTTTATACGCAATGTTTAACTTTATTGGATTTCTTTTTTCACTCTTAAAAGGAATCTATAACACATGTGCTATACACACACAAGTCAATAGACAAGCAAGTGTAGCACGCATACTATTTGCAGGATTTTTTGGAATTTTTTCTACATCAATAAACAAAATTCTTTTAGATGCACAAATAAAAGAATACAACACAAAAATAGCAACAAGACAGAACACATACGACGAAGAACATAACAATGTAGACACAACGCCAACAGCACCACAGTTACCACCCCTACCACATAACCATCCATTATCCCTAGTCCCACGTAATTTTCGAAACTTAGCAATAACACATAATCCAAATTTAAGACCAACCATATCACAAAGTCCCATCCAACATATAATGGCACACCACTCACAAGATGAAAATACCTATGAACAAATTATAGAACAACCCCATACCACCGCTTTTCAGTCTCAAAATAATAATTTTTTTAGCCCACGATGAGCCGACAACTTGGATCCCTACACCGTTCAAATTCCCATCCAACCAACCTCACTACTCCAATTACAATAATACCACTTTTTGCTTTCCCACCACCCGATTTCCCAACCAGTAATGTAACATCAGGCATGAATTCCGATACTAATTCACACATCTCAGTTTTATACTCCACATCACAACTCAATAACCCGAATATTGAAACCCCCGATGAATTTGCCGACTCTGAACCATCTCCATCCAATAATTTTCACACCAACCCCTCAATTTTTTCCCAACCCCCTTTTCAACCAATGATACCAAATAACCCTGTCCCCACCAATTCTACACCCTCTTATGCTTCCCAAGTCACTCCAACCTATTCTTCATATCATTCAGACCGATCATCCAATTCTCCAGATACCCCCCAAATCTCCCCAGAACTAGATAATTTTATTACATTACAACAACAACCCTACCACCTTGACACCCCCACCATAAACCAAATTTCATCCACAATAGATTCATCCAACCCTCCTACCCCTACACCCTCTTCAATTTATACCGAATCATTAGCACCATCATCCACATCTACTGAATCTTCACTCAGCACTAATAGAGCTTACCGCACTTTTAAAAGAAGGTTCCCCAACCATCCTTTCCCAGCAAAACCAGGAACAGCCCGTGAATATATAAATCACCCAAATCACACTAATACAAAAGAATTTTTAGCTATCACCTTACCCTCATTTCCACAATACACCTTAAACACCCCTCACGACACTAACGAAACACGTAACTTTGTAGACGAACACGTTTTAATGCCTACCCTTCCTTGGACCTCATATTATCATTTTACTAATCCCCTTTGCTTACCTTTATCTAACACTCACATCGATATAGAACGAAATAAGGACATGCTATATCGACTCACTACACCACTAACACCTAGACAATTTACTTACATAGGATATAAAAAATCACTAAAAACATACACTGCACCCCGAGCTAACGAATATACGCTAGAATTTTACGATAATAACATCATCAGAACTAACCAAGATCAATTCTTAGACGATGACCGCTTCGCTAACCCACAAATCACAGAAAAATTTTTCATTAAAACACCATATAAATTTACACTCAATATATTTGATCGCAAATTTGACCACATCATCTCAGAAGCACTAACAGACACACAAGCCTACGAAAGTTTTAAAGAACGCTTCCAAATATTTTCACTAACCTTTCATTTCCTTGCACCACATGAAAGAGATCTGCACTGCTCACACGATATTATATTGCGCACTAAACAAACTCACACATATACATATTATCGTTTTATCCAAAATCACTTCGACCTACACACTCCCTCCGGACAACCACACCACCGTTTTCAATTCATCAATTCCAAATACACCTCACCATTCTATCTTAACTTCACATATTGCATTAAAGATACTAACCTTCATGGTATTCTTCGAAATTATGATCCCATAACCCAAATGTATATTTTTTGTCCCATCACCAAGACCTTCAACGCAGAAGAATCCCGACCCTTCCTTCTCCCACACGAATTTGTTCAACCTATAGAAATCCCCATTTTAGAATTCATCCACAACACTAAATTCAATCACAAATTATATAATCTAATCCAAAACACACCTTATGAGTTTGCAGTTGGCACTGAAGAACAAACCACCATTAAAGCACTTCAATTGCTTTGGCCACTGCTTCAAACTAAAAATATCATACGCATCTTAGCTAAATTACTAACAACTTCAGATCTCATCCACGACATCTTCCCCCACGGTTTCTTCCCCGACGACTAACAGGTAAATATGAATTATACATATTATTAACTAATTAAATTAAAATTAGAAACTAACCATTCTTTACTCATGTCTTCTTTAGAATTTTAGCCTTCATCCAACGATTATCTGAAAAATTCACAAAAGAATATAAAAATTGAAAACTTCTTCAAACTGTTTAAAACTCTATTAATTTTTTGCACCAAACAAATCACTAAAAATAATACCAATGCAGTAATTTAATTTATAAATTTTTTCCCAAATGCAGTAAATCTAATAATGATGAAAATTTGTAACTTAATTTTCCCCAACAACTAGCAGTAAATTTGCATTTCTATGTAATGAATTGATAAAACGAAAATGCAGTACTAACCTTTTGATATTTCCATTCATTCGCACAAAGATTCTATCCACACTCGCACAGCTCGCCCACGAAGAATTGTTTAAAATAATGAATTTCAGTTTCAAGCTTTCACACTCAACAACTCTAACACACGATAACAAGTTTCAAACTTTCCTTTAACCCGGTTGGAAAGAAATTATATACTAAACAACACTAACCAACGCAGCTTACTAAACACCACAAATCATAGAATAACAGCATGACTAAGAAAAGGAAACCAACGGTACCCAAACTGGATTAACCCAGTTTAAAACTGGATAATTTATTCTTTTGAAGACTATTATAAAGTCTAAGAAAGAAATAATAAAACACAAAAAAGTCGAAAGACAAACCCATACCAAAAACAATTTGATTTTTGAAAAAAGGACACAACCAACAAAACATAAGAAAAACCACAACAAACCCAACATAAAACGTTGTCACATAACAGGACCTCTCACAAAAACCGCATGCAATCATACTCCCACTCCTGGCCTAACCCACCAGAAGAGGACGTCCTGAGCATGCTCTATAGCCGGCCTAACCCACCGTGCTACATCCACGCTTTGTGATCACACTCCTATTTTTAATAAGAGCTACTCAAGGGTGAGTAACTCTTCAAAATAACTGAACTAAAACAAAAAGCTTTTGTGAAAACAACTAACCAAAATCATAACTAAAACATTAAACTAATAAAAATTTTATAAAATGTAAATTATATCTTGCAGTATATAGATCAGCATACAATACCAAAGACGAACATCCAAAGACAAGATGACCCCACTACACTCGAAAAAGAATGGCCAACCACAATCAATATGCCGCCACCAATCACAACTCAAAGGATTTAGAGTACGACTTGACTTCGCAGAAAAGGACTTCATTGTACTAGAACAATGACCACCTCGATGTTCAAGTATACGTACAGATCCGAGTAACCAGGCATCCCCTCCACACACAATCTCCACGCCATTCTCAGACAAGGTCAAACACAAAAGAAGTTCTCTACATGAAACGGAAAAACCTGTCATAGCCAACCATTCTGAAATCAGATTTGAGTTTGTTGCGAAAACCCAGTCGTTGTCTTGAGAAGACACAACGATTGAATCTGGGACTTCCCAAATAAGAAAACCCAGAAGAAATAAGATGTTCGCCAAATACCAACGTCCATCATCCATCCTTTGAATTGCAGAAAGACTATTCTAAAAAACTCTGTAAAACCCGGATGGGTGGAACCTGATCTAAACTACATTTTATGATTGGATAAATTAGATATTTTACCACTGTAAAGTATTTAATATTAACCAATCATGATCCATCTAACTAACAACCCACTTATTTGTAAGTGCTGAAATTACTTGTAATTTCAGCACCAGAGAGATTTGAATTTAACTTAGAAATTAGTTGACTCTCCAAGAAGACTTCAGCTGCCGCAATAAACCAGTATACCCTAGATCTATTGAGCCTAGCAGAGACTAGTTAAACAACCTGAGACTAGATAGTATAAGAGTAAGATTAGGATTGGTATTAGACTAAGAAGTTGCACGAATCTATCCGGCCGAAAATAAGATAGCGTGACGAGCAGACGGTGTACCCTATCCGAAATTACTCTATGAGTTATACACTTCGGTCCTAACTCAATAAGCATATCGGAGTGATGAAGTTTCGATCAATAAAAAGAGCTTCTTCGTGAAATAATACGTTTATTTTTTCAGGTTTTCGTTCGTAGTCTTCCGTGAAGCCTGTGTAAGCTTATTGCATTTTCTTGCTTAATTTTGATTACGTAAGTATGGATGAGTAAAGAGTAAAAAAAAGTGTGAAAGATTTAGCCGAAAACAATACCAAAAAAACGTCCGGCTAAATAGTTTTATGTAAAAGCGGAGTTCATTTGGCGGAGTTGAATAATTTTCACTTTGTTCTATTTATCTCAGGCTAAATGGTCGAATCGTGTAACTGTCTGTGGTCGGAACAGTCGTCAATGCTTGCTCAGCAATTCAATTTTTTTTTCTTTTTTTTTAAATGACAGCTATAAGTGACATCAAAACTGATAATTTTAATTTGTACTGAAATTTAAAGATTTCAAAAGCATTTTAATGTTAGAGTTTTTGTTTACTGATACATTGTTTACTGATCATCGCTTGATAAAATTCGATAAATTTTCCCTTCAATTTTTTCAACTTTGCCTTCACCTTTTGTTTGTTCATTCTCCATTCAATTCGACTACTTTTCCGATGCAGAAATCCAACTTTTTCCAAGGTCGCTTTTTCCATATGTTCTGAAGCAGTAGTATCGGTAGCTGAAAATGAAGCTTCATGAAAAACGGTACGGGATCTTTCAGACATAAGTCAGCATCATTGTCCCAAAACACCGAGAAGTCTATTTTGTTGGTCTCTGATTTGTAATTGTTAAGTCGGAAAACGGACTTGAAAAGCTCGTCGCCAAAGTGTAAAACTTTACAAGCCATAATTTTATTTTTGCTAGCTTCTTTAAGAATATTCTTGGGTAGATCTATATTGAGAAGAGCTGCTCCTAGAACGTACTTTCCGACATCGGAACACGAGAAAACGGATAGCTGTGAGTGTACTCTAGGGTTGCATTCTATTGGGTAAACATTGTTACCCACTTCGATAAAGTCAAAACATAATTGACAGTTGTTCAGATTCAATTCGTTTTCGTTCACGTTGTTATTCCTCTCGTTCATTCGCGAAACGAACTTTTCTAACCAGGCGCAGATTTTAACATGTTCTGTATGCTCAAATCTAAGTTGACTTGGTGAACTTTCACAAACTGTAGTTAACTTGAGAGCCCCGTTTCTAATAATACAAGCAGCTGAATATTCTCTTCCTGTCAACTTAGTCTGAGCTGTCCATGGATTAGTCGGGCTAATGGCGTTACCTTCTTTTCGGATTTTCTGTAAATAGATTTCTAAATTCTCAGAATTGGTAGGCAAGGTGAATAAATCAAGTCTATGCAGGCAGTCATAAGACAAGTTCTTCAGAATCATTTGGTTGTGATCAGATTGATATTGACTTCTCAGTTCCATGTTTAGCTGGTGCGCTTCTTCGTCCGAGTTCACGATCACTGTTTTGGGAGCTGTGACTCCCAATACTTCGCAATACTGACAGAATATCAATTTATTGTCAAGAGCTTCGCACATTTTCGCCGATACATGATACGGGCGGTCGAAGTTGCTGTAAGCTGCCAGCGTTGACATTAACTCCTCACATGCCAATGAATCTGGCGTTGCGCTCCTGGGTACGCTAACTGGTAAGAAACCGGTGATTTTATGCTTTCTGCCAATTCTGACCATTTCTTTAATATACTCTTCCTTTTGACTAACGTCTCTCACTTGTAGGACTTCGAAGGCATCGCAGTATCGTGAAAAACGAGCTCCCACCCACGCATAGTTTTGAGTATCTGCTAAAATGATTCGCGATTTCTTGCCGGGCAGAACTGATTTGATTGAGCGAACTATAGTCAGAGTTTTTGAAAAGTGAGCGCCCATTATTAGAATCACAGGAGGCGCCCTAGGCTCCGCCAACGATGACAGAAAGTTCCGAATCTCTTTAATTGTTTTATTTGATCGTTTGCTTTGCTCGGAAAAGGTTTCAAATATTGCCTGAATATGTTTGAATATAAGGAAAGTCATAGAAAAGATGGGCACTAAGAATACGAGAAGAAGAATGTGTCCAAATGAAGCTGCTCTTCCGTAATACATGGTGTCTTCAGGTGTCTAAAACAGACAAATCACTATCTCATAAACAGTAAAGGTCAATTTTTTACTGCATCGCTAGTCTATCAATGAAAAATGACTGTTTTGATTCTAGTTGTTATTCCGATTCTTGATTTGACTGCTCAGTTTAGTTTGATCGCTGAAAGATTTTCAGAAAGTCAAGTTTGAAGCTTTAAAAAACAATAAACGCGGGTGTTGTTCTTGAATTGATTAAACCTTGAAGATTCAATAAAATTTTTAAATAGTTGAAACTTGTCATACGTTAAATGTGCTTGATCAGTGTTTTCTAATTCTTTAGCATATCAGTGCAACTTCAGAAAGAAGTCAAATTTTGTATATCAACCGAACAGTTTGAAGTTAAATGGAGCAACTAAGTGCATGGTTTTGAGCGCTGAAGCTCTACTAATTCGCCAGGTAATAAAGATAACCAAATTCATTTTTGTTACGGAATGCCGGTTTCATTTTTTTCTTTCGTTTTATATTTGATCAACAGTGCCTAGTTCTTCACTTACTTCATGCAATACTGTGTATTGTTCATACACAAATAAATTCATTTTAACGAAAAAATGTTTGACATGTGGTTCCGTTGCAGTTCCCCTCAATTTTGGATTATTTATTCTGTGCTATGGAAATGCCGAGACGATTTGAAACTATGAGAACAAATCCATAAAAAAATTACAGAAAACTTTTTTAAAAAAATGTACAAAAGCCGCAAAAATAAAAATTAAGTTTCAGTTAAGGATTTTTTGAACTATTTTGCTCTGCTTTCAAATTCATAACTTAGTAAGTTGCAGTGTACGAAACCTAGTTGCATTCATCGCTGGCTAAGCACACTTTTGGTTTCGAGAAATGAAATATCAATATCTGCGTTTTGTTTAGTTTGAATCATTTTTTGATTTCTTCCAGTTGCGTTGGCGCAGGCTGCTAACAGAACGCTTCGGAAGAATTTGATTATACAGAGTTGACCAAAACTGCTTGTCATACAATTTTCATATACGGAGAAATGTTTGTACAATTACATACGTGTCCTACAATTTCGTACAAAAAACTATATGAAAATTCTACGACAAGCAGTTATTCATATATGGAAATTATTTGATAACCACTTATCTTCATATGAAAAAAGCATGACAAGCATTTTAATTTAGAAAAAAATTTAGGATTGTTCTTCCATTTAAGTGTTTTGGCTCACTGTTTTACAAGAATGAGCATTGATTTTAGTGGCCAGAATCGCCCAGATGAACTGCAACTGAAGATTCGTCAGTAAAGCTAATGTAGTAAATTTCACTCAAAATTATAGCTAAACACCATAAAATTTTGTATGCGGCCTAAAAAATACTCCAATAAACTTGTAGTTGAAAATTGTGGCCCGTAATTTTTAAGACAGATAATATTCTCAGCAAATATAATCTTACGCTAAAATAACATGAAAATATCAAACTTGGGTTCGCACAAAAATAATCGGCAATTTTGAGTCATTTGTATCAAAATTTCAGCCTGGACTACGTTATAAAGAAAATTCACAAACTTATAGAAAAAATCCGGAAATCGTTTGTTTGAGTATAAAATTGATTTTGTAACTAGGAAATTTTTCATTTTTCTGACTGATTGTTTTTTATTTGGAACTTTTGTAGCCATCTAAAAAAAGCCTATCATGCAATTTTTATATATGAAAATTGTATGACAATCATTTTTCATTCACTCAATGTATGAAATTGTATGATCAGCATTTTTGTGTACAAGATTGTTTGATAAGGTTTTTTGTGCATGGAGTTAACCCGTGATGGTTCAAAATCGAAGTGACAACTACTTTTTTCTCTCAAAAAATGGAGCGATCTTTACAGCATCTTCTTTCGTTCTGTGTAAAACACACCACGGAAATTTAATAAAAAAAACACAAAACCTCTACCCGAATGAAATACAGAAAATTTGGCTTGCCGAATAAAGTTTAAACTTTTCGGCAAACAAAGTTTCAGATACTACTTTAAATATTTGGAACAAACGAAATTGAGAAACAGACCAATGTCATTTTCAAAAGTTTTCCTTTTTTTAATATTCAGAAGGCTAAAACCTTAGCTGCTTTCAATATTTCTTCATTTTTACCGAATAAATTACCGCAATAATAAAGAATAAGAAATAATGAGAATTCCAAACACGCAGTAATACAGTGCTGATGGGTCGTTTTGGCTTTTTCTAATTAATCAAAAATTACACTGAAACTACTTTGTTATTTGATGAGAAAAATATATCACAAGAAGCCTCTTACACAGCCCAACAAAGTTATACGAAGGTTGAATCCCCAAAACTTTTGAGTAATTTGTTTAAAGTTTGTTTTTAAGCAAAGATTTTGTGTTCTATATAGAAAAAAATCACCTTTCTTGTCTATGAAGCAAAAACATTTTCTCTTATACAGGTTTTTGGAGGTTTAACTGTTCTAGATCTTTGTTGGGCTGTGTAAGAGGCTTCTTGTGATATATGTTTCTCATCAATTAACAAAAGAGTTTCAGCGTAATTTTTGACTAATTAGAAAAAGCCAAAATGACCCATTTTTAGGTTAAAATTTTGGTTGAGAATTTAGGAGAAAAAAAAGTACACCATATTAATTCTGATGAAATTCTAAGCAACTTTTGTTCTCTTCACTTTTTGTCTAATCTTAACCCAAATTGAGAAAAACGCCTTTGAAATTTCAAGTTTTGTTCGTTTTGTCCGGATCATTTAAATCAGCACTGTATTCTGAAAAAGCTTTTAAGAACAAGACACCCTGCGTAATATCTAAGGCGTAGTAGTGATCTAAATTGCACAGCCCTTCCTTGTGCCTTTTCTTCAATCTCGATAGGTTAATTTACTTAGAGTTTGAAGTGGCTACGCAAAACAAACCAGACCCCTATCAAAAAACTTCATTTTCGAACTCAAAATCCGCCGGTCAAAGAAACAATTTAAGAAAAATAAAACTGGCTGCTATCAACCACGTAGGTGTGACCCCATGCAACCAATTATGTCCAATTTTTAAGACTCATTTTAAACAAACAAAAATACAGCAACTTTGAAAACCGTCAAGGAGAAGTTGACGCAATGTCGGACAACCTTGTTGAAGCCACATAATTGTTGATCTAACCAAAATAACAAGGTGACCTTTGGGAGTTTTTGTTGTTTTTCTGCACCGATAAAAAAGTTTCCGCTTAAACAAAGCATGGTTCTCTACTCGTATCTCTGCAACAAAAAAGCCCTCTACAATAAGTTATTGAGTTGTACTGAGTACTGTAAGAAGCGAGTAATTGCAATTTTAGCGAGCCCTGGAAGGCCAAAGCTACTGTTTCTTAAATCTTACCCGCATCCAGTTTCAAGCGTTAATAATCGATTATATTACGATTTTAGTACCGAAACTTGGATGCGGGTAACTACAATCTTTGATGGCTTACTACCAGACATAAACGAAAAAACCAATGGTAAAACCTTCGTTCGCAGCAACAATTAACAATAAAATCGATAGAAAGATTTTTGCCGTTGAAATTAGGCAAAAAGAATTATTTTCAAATTGTTTATGCACAAAAATAAATTGCAGACAAATTGATGTTTTGAAACTCAATGTTTTTCTGCAACAATTCCTGCTCTGAAGCGATTTCCCTCACACATATTGCTTTCTCGGCTAGAGGAAATCGCTTAAGTGAAATCTTGCAGCTGCCATTGAAACAATTCACTAATAAACAGAGTGAAAACCCTGCGATGAAAATAGTAGAAAATGTGGTCCCTGTGTTTATTTTGAAAAGCAAACTGGAAGATCGGAGCCTACATTTGACTCTGTAGAACAGAATTGCTGATCAGTTTTGCTTGAAAACCAAGCATATGCTCATAGCGGAGGCGGAGCAATAAGCAGAATGGTCCAAGTGCAGAATGGGTCCAAGAGCAGAAAACCGGAAAATATTGACTTATTTTGGTTTATACGGGCTAATTGATAAAACAATTATTAGAATCGTCAAAAAATACCAAGAAAACGAATAAATTATGCATGAATTGACTAATTTCTTTAAGTTTTTGGATTAATTTTGTATGTTGTATCATAGTTGTATGGCAGCTACTGTGAGATTGTCAAATTTTGTATTTAATTTTCTGCCATGCTATGATAGTTTGTGAAGGTGAGCTCTCACTTGACCATTAGTTTCAGGTCTACTATAGGCTAATCAATTTCGACTTCAAATATGGTACCGCGTCAAAGTTCGGACGCAAAAAATGGTCTTAGAAACTATGGGGAGACAAAACTGGCCTTGGAAAATAATAGAAACGGGCTATTCCTACAAGTTTCAATGCTTTTCATAGATCCTTAGCGAATCCCAGAAATTTCAATCAACTAATGAATTCTCTCATGAACTTTTTGATATTTTTCAAATTGCAAACAAAATGGCCATCGTCGTACCAGAAAGGGCCATTTTGTGTTACCTGAGAAAAAAACTTAATAGATTTAAAATTGACCTGGATGCAACTTTTCTTACCAAACATAAGCGGTTGGTTTGGATTAGTATCTTATGAACTCACAGAGCAAGATAGGAGTTATGGCGTGACTTGTTTTTTGAAATTCCAAAGAGTGTTTCTCAGTATCGGACTCTTTGATGTGCAATAAAAAATTTCAAAAAAGTATTTTGGTTTGAACTTTTTGGGCTCAACAAATTTGCGATGAAATTGAAAGTTTGTTTGGGCTTATCAATCAGGGTGTGCTGATTTGTTCAGACTCTAGTCCAATGACGCGAAGATCGACAGTTTTGGTAACTTATTTTAAGTTCACATTCCTGGCATTCCAATTTGAAATGCCCGTAGTTTGTTCATCTCACTGTCTGACCTTGATGTCATCGAAAGATTGTGAAACAAACTCAGTCCACCTTGGTTGCATAAGATAACTCTTATCTCATACAGGTCATTCAGAGACATCGTCTAAGCAACTGATGGAAATTTTGCAATTATACTCTTTAATCGGGCCTTAATTGACTTTTCACGCTATCTCAAATACTTGAAATTACAACTTAAACGACATCAATTGACCTTTGATCGAAATTCGATTATCTGGAACCGTAATCTTATCATCCGAGGTGAGCTTAAAATTAGTCCGCCAAAAGCTCGCTTCTCGCCAAGTCGCCTGAAATTCAAACTTCGGTTTTCAAACTAAATCGCAAATAAAAAGTTTCCAAATTTCTCGAAGTGATTAAAATGACGATCGATTCTGCGCAAAAAGGATCCGCTAGTTTGGCTGCAAATACTTCTGGGCCAACAAGAATAGCCTACTACAAGATCTCAAATCTCGAAAAAGACGCTTTTTGGCTCCGTTTTAGGGCATTCGTTCAAGCCATAGGCCATGAAGTGGACTTGTTTCCTTCCTTGATGGGCCATAGCAAAAATGTGGCCAAAAGTAGCGAAGTGTTCTCGAAGCCGGAAACTTTGAGGTGGAACGGAGGCCAGAGCTTCGCTGTAATTGACAAATCGAAGCGATGCACGGATGAACAAATCTGGCAGCCTGAAGTGTTGTCTATAGATGAAGTTCATCATTTCACCCCGCCAATGCAGTCGGAAAATGTCTATGTGAACACGCTGAAGTCTTTCCTGTTCAAGCTTTTCGCTGACAAAGATGTGATCAACTTTCTTTCACTGATGTCAATGATCGATCCTTTCTCCGAGCAGTTTTGCGAGATCGTCGTGACTCGAGAATCCATCAATGATGAACCATCTCGAGGCCTTGACTTGGTCGCCCAGTTGAAGAAGCTGAAATACTTCTTAAACCTGCCTATTGGTCAAGTATTGCAACTTCTGTCTCAACTATCAACCCAAATAGTCATTTGCGACTCTTCTTTTCGACAGAAAAGTAACTCAAACTGGGTCTTCGTGTTTGCCTCATTCGTAAGCGGGTTATACCGAAGTGATAATGAGTTCGCGAAAAGCGTGCTGAAAACTCAATTCAAGACTTGGATCGCATCTCACAGTGAGCCAGCGCTTTTTGGATACAAAGCACTTCAGGGTAAACTGGAAAAAGCGGACCCACATTCAATTTTTCCAACCTCAATCTACCGACGTTGCGATGGGCGGACCTTTGCCTCGTCAGACGCTCAGACTATTGAAGCCGTCATGGATACCGTCTTGACTACTACGATCAAAATCACCAGAAATGTTCTGGATCCAAAAACAAACCATCTGCTTGCCGACGTGTATCGTCCCCTCGGAAGAGTCGTAGTGATCGTGGACGAACGAGTTGACGACAACGGGTACTCGGATACGATCCGAAACTACTTCGCGCACTTCAATATCGATGCTACTATTCTCGTTTTTGGCGGCGACGAAATCCACAAAGACATGTCAACTGTCCAGAAAATGCTGATTGCTCTCAAGCACAACAATGTCAGCCGGAACCAACCTGTACTTGTCGTTGGAGGAGGTGTGATCTCAGATACAGCTGGTCTTGCATGCTCTTTGTACCATCGAAATACCCCATACGTCATGCTGGCAACATCAATAGTTTCTGGAATTGACGCCGGACCTAGCCCTCGAACCTGCTGCGATGGATTTGGATACAAGAATCTGTACGGAGCATACCACCCTCCCGTTCTGACTTTGACTGACAGAATGTTCTGGAAGAGTCTAAAGACTGGGTGGGCTCGACATGGCATTGCTGAGATAGTAAAAATGGCCTGTGTAAAAGACGTTCGCGCGTTTGAGCTGCTTGAAAAAGCGGGTAACATCCTAGTGAAAACAAAGTTTGGAACTGAAATGACTTCAAATGAGTACTCGAGGACCAAACTCGAAGCAGATCTCGAAAAGCATGGGTTTGCCGACGAGCATGAGTTCCAAGACACCTGTGATGAAATTGTTGGTCGGGCAATGGAGGGCTATGTACGCTCAGAGTACGGTAACTTGTGGGAAACCCACCAGGCAAGGCCTCATGCCTATGGGCATACATGGTCACCGGGGTATGAACTTCCGGCTGGTATGTTGCATGGCCATGCTGTCGCCACTTGCATGGGTTTCGGTGCTTTCTTGGCCCGATACCACGATGAGTGTCAGGAAATGGACGGTGAGCACAGACCGTGGATTTCAGATTCTGATCTGATGCGGATTTTGAATCTGATCAGTGACTTGGAACTAACTCTGTACCATCCCATCATGGACAAGGTGGACATCATTTGGGCTTCTCAGCTGAAAATGACGGCCAAGAGGGGAGGAAACTTGGCAGCTCCTGTGCCCAAGGGCGAAATTGGAAAGTGTGGATACATAACAACAGTTGACGAGGAGTGTCTGCACAGATCGCTTCAAGCGTACAAAGAGTTCATAACAGGGGTGGACCAGAATAACAAGCCAAGATTCGTCAGAAATGGGTTCGGAGTTGAAATGCACTGCCATGACGTGGGACTCCAGGATCCGAGTACTGTTATTCAACCTGGAGATCTTCAGGTTGAAATCAAACCCACCAAAAACACTGGAAAGAAACCCGCGCCACAGCCGGAACGGAAGCCAGCTGTTGAACAAAACAACCAGAAGTCAAGTCAGCCAAGCTCTTACCAAGAGTGGATTGCTCAGATGCAAACTAAGCGACACAAGAATTCTTCAAAGGCTATCAACGAACAATTTCATGAGTCATCTTCCGAATATGGTCCTTCGTTTTTGGAGGAAAATACTCCTCCGTCTTTTCCTTATTTCCATCTGTTTGCCGACGACACTGCCGAAAAGTATGCTTTGAACCAGACGACAAGTTGTTCCGACAATCTGCGGATCGCAGCCCAAATAACTGACAAAGAATCGTTGTTCCTGCCTTGCATGGTCGGCGCTTTGGAGTCTCAGTTTCTGAAGATGATTGCTAGCATCTCGAACTGCAAGCGTGTTCTGGACGTTGGAACGTTCACTGGAATGAGCGCAATCTCATTTGCCGAAACTGGTGCGGAAGTTGTGACTCTGGAATTCGACGAAAAGATAGCTAAAGTCGCTCAAACCATTTTTGATAAAATTGACAATGTAGTTGGACGTCGAATCACTTTGAAAGTCGGCTGCGCCAATCAGACGATGAAAAACATGGCCGCCAAAGGTGAAAAGTTTGATCTCATTTTCTTGGATGCTGATAAGGATAACTATGAGACCTACTATCAAATTGCGATGGACGGCGAGCTTCTAGCCGACGGAGGTTCGATTCTCGCTGACAACTCAGCTTGTGCGTTGCTTTACGATGAAAACGATGAAAGACGAAACGCTTTGCATCGTTTTAACCGAAAAGTCGCAAACGACGATCGAGTTGAACAAGTTCTGCTAACTATTCGAGAAGGAGTGACTATGATCAGGCGAAAACGAGATATGATGGTAAATGCGGCGAGTTCGGCGGACTCGGCAGAAAAAACTGAAAACCAAAATGTGCAAATTCTTGAAGATATCAGCAGCTGAGACTGAGCGATAACTTCATAGTCTAAGTATTTTAATATCAATTTGTAATATTTTATTTCTAGAAATTGTATTAATTGACGTGCAGTTAATATTTCAAATTAAAATTTATTTACTATTTTGAACTACAAATACGAAGTACTGCTTTGTCTTATTTGTATTTGATTGAATTAAGTCTTAGAAATTGTTTTACTCATTACAGTATGCACTTGAAAAGCATAACTTTTTTTAGTGCCAATATAGCAAAAAGAAAACGAAAATGAGTACTTTTTACGATAAATGCCTGCACAATGAAATAAGTTACTTGTTACGTTCATTTGTGACTGGTGGATTTGCAGAAGAACGTTCTGTCTTTTAATCTTAATCCGAAGTTCTTCCAAAACAGCAAAATTTCTAAAGTTAACCGATTTTTTAACGCCGCAGGCAATTTGTTTTTTTTCGAAAGACTAAACTCAGAAGGAGTTAAGATGTTTTTTTTGTACCACAGATGCCGTGGACCCTCAACTAAATTGATTTGTTCGAGGCGTATGAAGCCTGTCCTTTCTCTTTTTTTTTTCAAGGTTTTTGTGAATCATTTTGTACAAGTTGATTTTTGCCAATTTTCTAAGAGAGCAAATTTGACGTTTCCTGTCCTTGTTTTGCTCGTTCTAAAATTTACTGAAGTCTTTTTCCAAGAAAAATTTAAAAACTGTTCGCACTCGTTTTACTAATTCTATTGTTTTTCGTTGAAACTTGATTTTGAATTAATTGCCTAAAAATAATTTAAATTTTCATCGCTGTTAGTAAAAGTGTTTTTTTTGTCTTGCAACCCCCATTGAAATTTAATAAAGGTATCAGACAACTTAATTTTTGACTTTTTTTCATTTTTTTTATTTGAAAATTTTAACCAGAAAATAGCCTCTACATTGTTTTGACAAAGATCAGAAAATCAATTTGGTCGACATAAGAAGAAGTTATCAAAAACTTAGATTTGAAACAAAAACTGCTCTTCTTTGTCGAGAAAATGGTTCTTTGACAATCTGCCCTGTTTCAATCAACCAATGCTATTCTACCCTAAATTAGCCTTTCCTCTGTTCCAATCGACCATAAGCCGATCTACTTTATGCCCAATTCAAATTCAATCTACTCTTTGTACCAACTCATCTACCTTAATCAGGTAAAAACTTGTCCCATCTCTTCGAATAAAACCGCAAAAAAATTTCCCATACAGATATAGAAGCCTTAATTTTGTCCAAAACACCAAAAAATTGCAGCTATGTATCTCAATTATTTCAAAATTTTGTAGCTTGGAGTCGTTATAGCCCAGTAGATAAGGCACTTACGTCGAGTCAGAGATCAAAAGATCAATACAGCATAAAATCGAAGTGATTCCATTCCAAAATACCTTAAAATACCGAAACAAAACAGGACGGCAAACCGTAGTTTTGGTCTTGAAATCTATTACACCACCGCCAAAAATAATTGTCGACTCTCGTGTAAGTGTTAATCTTCAGTAATTTGATAAATTAAACAGAATTTGAAAAGACATAATTATTCGAGAGAACATTTCAAAGTAGAATCGCTTACAAAAAAATTAACAAAAAGGTTTCACTCTCTCGATAATTGCACTGAAATTTATGCGATTGGGTTTGATGTTGCCTCCACAAATTTTAGAATATTAGGGCTGCTTTTCAGAGATCATCCTATAAAGGTTTGAAAAAATTGGTCTCGCCAATTCTTTCCCATAATTTTTCCTTGATGGAAGTGAGGAAGTGAGTTGGAAGAATGAGGTTGCCCAGGGGCAGATTTAAGGGGAGGGAAGGGGGAGGGGCGGACGCGCAAAAAGTGCAATTTTTTGGTCAACAGTTTCCAAAAAGTGCCTTAAATTCCTTTTTTGCTTATTTTTGTTTAATTTGACCCCAAAACAGGGTCTTTTTAATGCTTTGGGAGAGCTCGCTTGGAAAACCAATTTGGTTGACCTAGAAAAAAATCGACAAAATTTTTGAATTTTTTTTGAAAATCCGACCCCCCCCCCCGCCCTCGAGAAAATCCTAGATCTGTCCTGAAGCTACATGGTCTACTTTTTCATTTGTTTTTGGCTATATCAAACTTGTCAGAAAATTCCCACTTTCAAGAAGGGGGTAGATTGAATTGTTAAGTTGATTATTTGCAGCGAATTTTTGACCAATCAGAATGCAGCAAAATTCGAATTTACATACAAAGCTCTAGTGCGAATTTACTGTTTTTATTTACAGTGGTGGAGATTCTTTAGTAGATACAATAGAGTGGGGGGGGATTGTTAAGTAGATCCAAAAATTTTGTTTTTCCGCAGGGACCTAGTCGAATCTAACGAAGCCAATGCATTAGGTGCAAAATATTAGCTAGAATTATACATACAGTCAAATTACAAGCGTTTCATTCCCATCTTTTTGTTCCGACTTTCGTAACGAAAGTAACGAAATATATGTGCTCGATGTGGTTTGTTTTTCTTCAGACAAATTTCGACTTTAACTAGCCATTTTTGACTGAATTCTTTTATATCATTCGAAAGCTATTGTTGTCCTGAGCTTAAATTTGAAAAGATATTTCACCTGTGATCATTTTGTGTAAAGTTATGGGGGTTTAAAAATTGCCATTTCGGCCAATTTGAGACAATTAAAGCGTGATATATTTCGAGCTATTAACACGTAAGCGAGAGGTAATCCGTGTTAGAAATCGTTCCAAATTGATTCAAGGAAGATTATATGCTATAATTCATTTGTTATTTTCGTTACGAAAGTCGGAAAAACAAGTTTAAGTCAAAAACAGCATTACAGCAAAATCCATCACTTTGTACTTAATATGGCGTCTGGGGGGATATTTCACGAAAAATCTCACTTTTTTTTATTTTGATTTTTTTTTATTACATTTAATTTTTTCATTTTATTACTGCTCCATAGACTTTAAAAGGCAGTCGTTGGAACGTTTAGGGTTTCGCCCTGATACGAGCAGTCTTGTTTATTTTCCGGGTAATTAGCCGCCTTAAATTCAAACTGCATCATGCTGATTAGCGAAGGCATCACGTGCTATTCGTTCAATTTCTCAGAGAAAGCAAGATATACAGACGGTAGTATTTTGACGTCAGTATTTTGACAGTGTTTTTGACTTAAACTTGTTTTTCCGACTTTCGTAACGAAAGTAACGGAATATTTGTGCTCGGGGTGGTTTTGTTTCTTCAGATACGTTTGGACTTTTTAGCTGACCATTCTTGACAAAATTTCTTATATCATTCAAAAGCTATGGTTGTCTTGAGCTTAAACTTGAAAAGATATTTCACCTGTGATTATTTTCGTAAAGTTATGGGGGTTTGAATATTGTCATTTTGGCCAATTTGGGACAAGTTTCGCGCTATTAACACGTACAAGTCGTTCCAAATTGATTGAAGGAAGCTTAATTGCCCTAATTGATTTAATACTAGGAGCGAAATCTATCACCTTGTGCTTTATATGAGGTCAAGTGGGATGATTTTCTCAAAAAAATCTTAATTTTGAAAAAAAAAGTCTTGTTGATTTATAAAATTCATTTAAATTTTTGCATGAGTAGCCTGGCTTCTGAACAAACTGGAAAAACTTATATAGTGCGATTTCTAAAGAGAAAATTATATCGTTATCTCGAGCTATCACTGTCAATTTATAAGATCATCAACTCGAACTCAGTGATTAATTCCATTTTTTGTTTTGTCTTTTTTTCTCGTTGTTTTCTCGTTCGTAATAATTTTGTGGTCGTTAACTACATTTTTTTTCCGATTTAGTTGAGATGAACTCCAAGAAATTTAATCCATTTAGATGAAGGTCACTGTAAAAAAAATTTCGATGTAATAGTTACGTTTATGCAAATTGAGATTTAAAATCTACGAATGTGATATTTTTTAAAACTTCAAGCTCAAGTTAAAGATTGATTTGTTTGAACGTAAAGCTGAAATGAAAACTGAAAGAGTCTAAGAAATCGATCTGAAATGAGTTAATAATAATGTTATAATTCCGTCTCAAATAAGCAACTAAACAGCCTTCAAAATATTTTTGAAGATGCAGAAAATCGGCATGGAGTATGGTTTTTTGATAGGCTTATGATTTTTTGGTATCGGGAAGATGCATATAGGGCAGACTGATGAAGGGAATAATCGTAGAATGAAATTGGCTAGGTTGAAAAAAGGTATCCTGTTATCTAGAGAACTCATGACTCGCTTGGACTTAAAAGCATTGTTTTAAGCAATAATTCAAGCGTTCAAATCTGATATGTAAGCACAGTTCTGCAGCCTCCCGAAAATTTAAGTTTTTGTGGATTTTTGAAAGTTTTTTATTTAATATTTGTCATTTATAGTCAGATATTCTTGTTTTCTTTATTTTCCAACGAAAATAATAATAATTAATAAAAATTGTAGTTCCTGCGAATCGCAGAGAAGCTATCAGTAGGCTGTAACAGTCCTGTCGAGAATAGTCCATTTGTATTATCTCCCCACATTCCAGACAGTGTTATTTTGCTGAGCGAATCTGTTTTTTGCTACTCAAGGCCGTTTTTTTTGCGTCTAGAACTTTTTAAGTGACCACTATTTTCAGCCAAATTTGATCAGGTTGTGGTACACCTGAAGCTGGAGGTCAAGTGAGAGCTTGTCCTCACACACTATCATTGCCATGGCATGGGATCGAATACACAAAAGTTTTATCTAACTAGTTTTATGGTTGAATCGTTGAATCGCTGTCCTCTTTTTCCATTTAGAGATTATATGGTGATATGGTGATCGTGTTTTTCAAAAACAAACGAAGTCTTGATTTACCTTACGTGAAATTGTCATCGTCTTCACTTTTTGGTCGGCTCTATAACTGAAGTAATCAGAAAACTGCAACTGTCAGATTTATTGTTAGAAAAATGAAAACCAAGGAGTGGAAAAATTTAAATATATTTTCTACTGTTCTTACATTTTTGGCTCATTATTAGGAAAACAAAAAGTTTGAAAGTACAATTTATTTTGTCTTAACTTGACCTGAAAAATCTTTAAGAATAGAGAAGCATAAATTGCAAATTGTGATAATAATTCCAGCCAAACTCTTTCATGCGCGAAAAAAGTTAGAGGAAGTCGAAAAACTTCTTAATATTCTGAAGCAAAAAAAAGTACGTGACTTCTAAAAATACAGATGCAAAACGTGAAAAAGTGTTGGTTTATGCGTTTAT